CCTCCGGAGTTACCACGTGCGTTGCGGACGGGTGTTCCGCCTGCGCACATGCGAGCCTCGACGGAAAGGCGACCACAAGCGGACGTGGACCTACGCCTACGCGTAGGAAGAAGCAGTCCGCCTGTGCACAGGTCGCCTGTGCACATGCCGCCTGCGCACAGGCAGGATTCACCCCCGTTCCAACGTAGGAAGGGGAAGGAGCCGGCGGAAGATCCGCCTACGGGTCACGGGCCTTCGGGATCAGACCCTCCGGCGCCCAACGCGCCGCGATTTGCGCCTTCGGCGCCAGGGCCCTCGGGCCAACGAGATGCAAGCAGGGAGCGTGCGGAGGCCGCACCATCGGCGGGTAGTCCGCCGGTAGATGCGCCTTCGGCGGTAGGGCCTACGGGCCAAGGGACATCGGGCGAGCGGCCTCCGGCTATGTCGCCTTCGGCGATAGACGCCTTCGGCGCTGCGCCTGCGGCGGACAAGGCGCCGGCATTTGCGCCTGCGCACAGGCCAGGCACAGCCCTCGCGCAGGACCGATCGAGGGAGCAGCACCTGACGGAGGAGCTGATTGACTATTCGCGAGACAAAATTTTGGTGCGCGATGCGCAATCAAACCCCGCGCATACACCCTCCGCTCGATCGCCTTCGGCGGCGGACGTCGGCGGCAGAGAGGATACGGTCGAAGACCGACAAGCGGGCGACGGGGATGTAGCACGGCCACATTCGCCCACCGCCTTGGACATTTTGGCGAAGAGCAGCGAGGCTGCAGCGGTGCCTTCGCAGGCAGCACCCGTCGACGACGTGCAGCCCCACTCGGGTCAGTCGCCAACGCAATCAATGGCGATTGAAATCCTTAACTCGGATGATGACGACGGAGGCTCCACCGAAGCAATGTCGGGAGCAGGGGATACCGTGGAGGAGGAGGAGGAAATTGTTGGAGCGCCGGCGGCGGCGCTCTCTGAGCAAGTGATACCGTTGCTGAAGTACTTGGATCGCAAATTTGATAAATACGCCGATCCACTCCAGCCGGGATCTTACATCGAATTAGTGCGCAGGCGGACTTGCACTAAAGTCCACACTAGCAAGCTACTAGCTAGGGCGGACCAGGAATTGAAGGATTTGAGGGAGAAGCATGCCTGTTTGTGGGGTCAGTACAACCTTGTGAGGAAATCGCACGCCCTCGACAGGATGAAGAAGGAGAGACTGGAAGAGCTCACCAGGGATGTGGTGAAGACCACGACGGATTTGATGTCTGAGAAAACTCAGAATCAGATTCTGTCAGAAGAGCTCGTGCGACAGACGCGTTTGTTGGCGGAGTGTCAATTCGCACGACAGGCGGATGAGGATTTAATCCGTAGGCTACAGTCAGAGTGTGGTGAATTGAGAGCGCAGCGTGCGGAGGCCGAATCGCAGTTGGTGGTAATTGAAGAGGATCGCAGGCGAGAGGCAGATCGCACGAAGGAGGAGATGGCAAGGCGTGTCGCCCACTGTCTCAAGGGCTACGCCCACTGGGAAGTGGCGGCGCAGGAGAAACTCACACTGCGTGAGTTTGAACTTCGCGCAGCAGGGTTGTTGGCAGGCGACATCAGGAGTCGGCGGAAGGTGGCGAAGAAGCTAGACGCTTTTCTGTCGAAGGCGCGGGATACCATGTCCACCCTCGAGGTGGAGGTGTCCGCGGCGTTGCAGCGGTTGGGACTGCGCAGTCGAGCGGAAGACTGGCAGGGTAGGGAGTTAGTGCGCGGCAGTCCGTCGCGCAGGAGACGTAGCACAGGTTCCGCGGAGTGTAGTGTAGCGTGGTTCCGTGCAGGCGTGTAGCGTAGTGCAGTGTAATGCTAGTTAGGATTTAGAAGGTATAAAGTAGTTCAGGGCGTTTTGCATTGGGTTCTTTCCCAAATTCAGGAGTGCAGATCAGGAACTCATTTTCTCTGCGTGTTTGTGTCCTTAATTCTGTCACCACGCAAGGGGAGCTACCACTTGGTGTTCCGCATTTTGTAGCTGAAGGCCTTCGGCCGAATGTTCAGAGCTAGTACATTGGTTAGAGACTTGAGTAGTTCGGATCTACACCGGCGGGTGATTGCCGATGCTCAGAGCCAGTGACTAGTTAGATACTTGAATAGTTTCGCCCCTACACCTTCGAGTGTTTGTTCCTGATTGTACTCCTTCGGAATTTTTCCCCTGAATGCCAGAGTGAAGTTTTGTTTCTTCGTGTAAGCCTTGGTTGTAAATTCAGGTTACGCTGCAGCAGGTGCCTTCAGGGTAACCCCTGTAGTATTTCTGGGAATGACAAGTGCTTGAGAATTCAAACTCTTCAATAGACTGTTATTGTGTAACTGGAATGTTTTTTCAGTGAGTCCTTCAGTGCGGACCTGTGTTCTCTGCGCGTTTTGTGAGTTGAGAGTGTTGTTCACCGCGTATGGGTGACTTCGATCCGAAGTAGGCAGTCCAAACCGGGTTTCCTACGCTAGCAGTTAGTGGAAGTGTTGTAAAAGCCGGAGTTGGGAGTCACTACCCGCAGCTTCGCTGAGTGTACTCTCAAGAGACTTTTCCCCCCTGAAATCTTGAGTAGAGGTCCTAATGGATCTCTGGGTTGTGTTTCTGTAGTTTCAGGTGTGTGTGTGTGTGTGTGTGTTACGCTGCACTGTGCGACCTCCGAGTGCGCTCCGAGTGGACACTTGCAGTATTTCTGGGAGTGACAGTCGTCTGAGAATTCAAACTCCTCAATAGTCTGTTAAACGTGACACTTTGTACCCTGTGTGTTCCTCTGTCCCTGTGGGTTCGACCTTTCTACCACTATATTGCAGTTTTAGCCTTTAGTGGGTTATTACAGCTTCCACAAACGATACTTCTTCAATGATGGTGAGTGCAAACAAGCCCATCTCATGAACGACCTTTGATTTCACAGGTGTGTCAAGTCCTTCTAACATGTCACGTACCCACAATCCATGATCATGGATATGATCGCGAATGAAATCACGCGCAATCCAACAACCTTCATTGGACACAATGGTGTCTGAAGCAAATCCCTCCAATGATCCATCTAGCAATGAGAGCGCATCGATTCTAATGCAAATCTTGCTGACCAGCTTCTTCATTTCATGACGCTGTTAGGATATAACAATGTTGCGAGCCTGCAGAATCTTGAAGGTAGTGGAAAGCGTCTCAAACAAAGGCAGCAAACACACAGTCAAGATCCACCAAGATTGGAACGGCGCTTAAATCGGTCTTTTATCAAGGATGTGTTGAAGAAGGCGGAGACGGTGTAGGATGATCCATTTCATCAAATTCTTGAACTTCACAAATTGCGTCTTGTCTTTCGGGCATTTGACACCATTCATTGCACCATTCATTGCACCGATCAGATTGTGCTGCGATCGCAGATGCACGGAGAACACATGAGTCGCCTTGTAAAACTCGCCACCATCGACATCATTGGTGGCCATTTTCACGACCAGATCTAGCTGAGGAGGCACATACTAATTGTGCAGCATAGGATTGGTGCATTGAGTCGCAAGCAATGTCACAACACTGCCAGTGCGATCAATCATAGTGTTTTCCCTATTAGAGGCAATTGCAATGAGCTTGTCATTCCAATTTGGGCACAAAAGATCCATAACGGTGTTGATCATCTTGACGTAGTTGACTGCAGTGTGGCGCTGAAAGAACAAAATCAGCACTAAATGAAGGTTCATCAAAATGCCATTGCGGCACACGCAAATTCAATGATCCAACAATGACGACATAGCGAATATCAAACATGATGCTCTCCTTGATTGTGTCAAGATATGCATGAATTTCCGATTGTTGCTTCTCGTTGAAGAACTTCTACTTCTGTTCGGTACTAAGTGTTTTGTAATTCAATCAATCTTGTGTGTGCACTGTTTCCAGATGCTTTTGGTATAGTTGCGGGCGAAACAGTGAACGAAAGAAGTGGACGTTTGCGCGGTGCATTTGAGCTTGACCTCGGCTCCCGCGCGAGTCTATCTGCCCTTAAAAACACAACAATTGCATTGAACGGCAATCACATTCTTGCCATCAGTGCTTTTTTCTACAAATTTCAAGCTGAACTCAAGCTCGTGACCACAACCAAAGGCCGTTTGACGCTTCGTTAGTAGTTGCAGAACGGAATGAAGTGGAGAGGCAGAATGCCGAAGGCTGAGCTATATTCAAGAACACCGTGTGCGGACTTCAAACATTAGTGTTCGTGGTCATATAGAGTCTATATGACCACGAATTAGTTGATGGTGTCTATTAAAGACCCTCAACTAATGAACTAAGACTTAAATGACTTAAGTTAAAAGTTGCATTTTGGCATTTTTATAGTGACAAAAATGACATCTATTTTTAGAATGCCACTTTTTATGAGTTCTGGTCTAAGGATCACTTTTGTTTTTGAATTCAGTTAGCAATTATGAAAAACAGCAAATTTTAAGGTCAATAGTTATTGACCTTAAAATTACAAGATCATTTTGAAAAAATACCATCAATAATATTACATGTAATTACAAATTGAAACCTCAATTTTATAAAATGCAAGCTTAAGAGTAAAACATATTAGCTGATTATTTTTCTAACTATAGTGCAGATTTTTTCGACCTTTTATTATTACTATGTTAAAAGAATCACTAACTAGTACTAAACATATATGAAAGATCAATTCCCCATATTCTTCTTCAAAACTGTTGGAAACGCATGCTTAACACTTTGGTTTCACGCTCCAACGCCTTCATGGGGTCAAGTGAATAGCAAAAACAATGGGAAGATACCATCTCTTTACTATTGACTTGGCCCAAAGGAGATAACTAAAGGCTCCGGGTCGAAACATGCGCAACAAACAAGCAAAAAAAAGAAGAAAAATCTCCGAGTGGATAACGCGAGATATTTTCCAAATATGTTCTATCATTGGCAGCACCTCCCTTTTTCCAACACATTGATCCCAAATCTCACACGTGGAAGGACTCGACGAGCCGAACAGACCGCCGTGATCATTGCTTCCTCTCCTATTGCACCGCACCCGCGATAGGAGGAGGTCAGGGGTGAGTGAATTTGTTAAAGTATTTGAGTAAGACTGCCACCGCAGCACGCGACAGAACCTTCAGTCGAGTTCTAGGTACGATGATCGTCAAGCTGACGGGCCCATTGTCACGTACTGTGCACAATTAACACAGTTGACTCGCTAAAGAAAAGCAGTTCTGAAATTTTATGGATAGATTGAACTCGGTCCTGATGTAATGCTCGCGCTGATTGCTGTTCTTGGTTGTTGTTGTCGCTTGCATCTCGCTATCGCAACTGGCTGTGGGAGGAGTCTGCCTCCAGGAGGATGTTACCAGACAGCGGACCTGCCCGACAGAATGGGAAAGCAAGTGTATGCTAAGTGCGCCGTCTCAGTTGAAGTCATTATGCTCGTAACAATACTTTGAAGCGCTAGAAAGGATCATCACGTCGGAGTGAGACGGGGATGTGTGACGTGGGAGTGATGCTACTGATGTCAGTCATTGGTCCGAAGTCCATGTAGAAGCAAGGGAGGGAGGGATAGCTGGCTGGCTCTGGGCTGGGGAATCGAGATTTGGTGATCAGCAATCGAGAGGGAGTGAGAAGTAGGGGGCTAGTAGCGCTAGACCAACAGATGCGCTTTGCAGCCCGCTGGATGTAACCTGTGGAGAAATGGGAGGCTCGCTCGTCATCGCCCCTGCTCCCACAATATGTCTGACAGACACATCGTCTGCTTCATAAACGCATGCACGCAGTGGAGTGCGTGTGACAGAGTTTGTCCCGCTGACTTAGTAAGTGACAGGACACTCGAGTATGTCTGTTAGAAACGGTGGGTGGGTGGGTAAGGGAGCAAAATCTGAAGCCGTGGCTGTCGAGGCGAGGTCAAGAGTTCGTCCCATGGCTGGTGGCGACTTGGTCATTTCCTGCGGGCAGAGATCACCAATTGGTCGTGTTTCGCCAGGGTCTGATCGCTCGTGTTTGAGTCGAACGAGGAGTTTCGAAACGTGTTTAGGCAGTAGTAGAGTTTTTAGAGTGGTATTGGCATTGAGAAGAAAAGGATTTGCTGGAAGAGAATGCGATCGGAAGAGAAGAGTCGGTTGCGCTTTCGGAGGCGGTGGGTCAGACACGGAATCTTGTAATGTGGAATTGCCGGTACTCACACTCTACGAGCTGTTAGAGATATCTCAGGAAGTCGGCCTTTCGGAAATCAAAACTGCTTACAGGTTTGCCATTGACTGCACCTTGAACGTAATACCTTTCGGGCTTCTCGATCCATTTTGTGTCCTAGCAAGTTCATAAATTTTCTGCAAACTCCGTTTTTGCTCTGCTTTTCCTTCTGGTTGTCCTTCTTGTAGCTGGGAAGCTGGGCTCTGACGCTCCCTCCGTACTCCCTCTCCCCCTTCCTCTAGGCAAATGGCGCGCCGTTATCATCCTGATGTGTGCCCGCCGTCCGCGAGGGATGAATGCACCAAAAAGTTTTTGCAGGTGCAGGAGGCCTATGAAATTCTGGTAGACCCTGACTTGCGAGCCGATTATGACTTTCGGCTTCGAAATCCTTTATCCGTCCAAGCTCTTACGTCAGGATTCGCTTGCGATCGGAGATCTGGACAACGGCGGGGAAGAGTTACCCGTGGCGAGGTCGTTGCCAAGGAAGCATGGAAAGCTCATTGGGAAGAGCAGGTGGGCGAATTGAGGAGATCGGGTCGGCGGAAGCCGGGCTCGTGGGCTGAAAGAATGAGGCAGCAACGCGAGGAACGGGGAGAAGGTCCTTCTTAGGGCACACATATATACCAGCGCTATTAATCACTTCCCGAATTCGGTCTGCTGTGTCGTGGTGGTGCTAATGCTGCATCGTCTACAACAACCTCCAGCTCTCTCATGCACATGGCCGAACCTTACAGATTGTGTCAGGGCAGTGTTCCTGTGGCTAAAGACTTATGTGCCACTTTGTTAGGACCTCGATCCCGCTTTCGAAGAGTTGTTTAAGGATTTTGTTTGCCACCCGGCCGGAGTTTCTCCAAAGAAAGACCACAGCTCGAAGGATGAACGGATCCTCTTGGGGTATTTATCTTTCTCTGCGACAAAAGCGGTACTTGTACACACAGATACAATTAGTCGCGCCATAGTTCATGTATGGTGCAAAACCCCGCTCCTTGATTAATCATGTGTACACAACCCTGAAGTTAAGCACAAATGTACAGATAGCGGATCTTTTATGGGCGCAGGGCCCAAACAAGGATGGAGACAGAATAGTGTCCCGCATGCAAGTCATTCATCACTTTTCTGAACTCAAGCAGACTGTAGTTGATTTATGTGCGGTTGGCGATGTGGTCTCGCTCTCCACCAAAAGAGTGTTAACAGGTAAATGGTAAATGGAACGTGCGTGAGCTTGACTTTGGACTGAGCATGGTGGTGACATTTTCCGGCCTGGAAAGTAGTGGCACTTGCTGATTCTGATGGCGATGATTCCAACTTGCTCTTCAGGCTTGGCGGATGGAGCATGCACAATTGAATTAGGAAACCTGTGAATGGTAGTGATGCCATATAAATACCTTCTCATCAGGTGCTCTTGTTCATACAGATGTACTGACGAACTGGTGACGTGTTCTCACCAAATATATTCTTCCTGTGTTTTGAGACTCCTCGTAAACACTTGTTACCTCTCGCTGCTATCTTGACACTAATTTAGATTGGAGTCTCTTTGATAAAAAACTTTTTTTTTCTTGCAGCTTAGTTGCGAACGTGACCTCCCGGCTTTCTCGCTTCTGCCATTCTGCCGCCGTTATCTTCTTCACGTTTCTCATGTTTAATGAGGAACATTAAACATGAGAAGCTGGTGAAGTCCCGAACTGATTGCATGTGGGAAATCATTGTAACTTATTGAAGTTTTGGTAATGTGGACCAGGTAGCTATACCGAACGCTAGCCGCCACCACGCATGAAATTATAGCCCGATATGTAAAACTTGACTAGAATGTTCTTGTTGGCGCGATGGCTGGATGAGAATATGCAGAATCTAGCTAAACATGGCAAATTTGTTGTCATGTTTGTCATACCATGATCATCTCCAGCAACATGATCATCTCCAGCAACAGTGCATATTCTATCATTGAATCGTGAAGGATACAAGGCTCATTTTCTTGTCTCTTGGATAGTCCATCTATCGTGGAGTGTTTTGCCGTTGTTTTTGGAAACCTTTTTGCAAACCTCTATCTATCTCATGTGTGGCGGTGAAGTACGTTATTCTACCGGGTAGAAACTTTCAGATGGATTTACAAATCTGCTGTTGACAGAAGTATTTGCCAAGTTGTAGCATATATCAGTTATAAAGTTGTGGGAAATAGTGGGTTGTGCTCTTAATAGAGCAACCTTGCTAGTTTACCATTTACCATATCATATTACTAGCACATGATGCAATTAGTTTATAGAAACACCTTGATATTTTGGTTAGTTTTTGTACTCGAAATCAGATGGAAGTCAATCTGAAAAAATGATCTTTGATTTTTTCAGATTGGCCATTAGATCCAAGTTCTCTCTCTTTTACAAGGGATTAGAATTGGAACAAGTGAAAGTTACAAATATTTAGGTATTGATTTTTCTCAGAATTATAGTTGGGCACTTTGTGTACAAAAGAGAATAGAAGCTGGTTACAAGACTCTATATTCATTGTTGAGGATGAAGAGCATATATTTCTTATTTGTACTAGATATGCAGAGATTAGAGTGACTCATAATATAGATGTAGAGAATTTTTAGTCTTTGTTACAGTTAGTTTCTTTTGATTTAGGTTGTTATATTAAGGACATTATTAGTTATCATTCTAGTGCTCTTGGCACTAGCTAGGGTTTGGCAAATGGTCTTTGGGGTCTTTTCCCTTGTTTGTGATTGTCGTTTGTAATGTGTTTTTCAGCCTTTTGACCCTTTGGGTCCCCCGGACTTGATCTATTACCATTTACCATTTTAGTTCCACCTTTCATCTTTCAGCCCGAGCGTGAAAGTAGAATTTATTTTCTTTCGCCTACCCAAGACATTGGATATATGAGTGCAAACTTAATCGAAAGTATGCGAATTGTGGATTCTAAATTGTAGAAAGAAGGGCAGAACCTAGAAAGTGAAAATTGGAAATTCTACTTCTTTCTTGACATGGGATTGGTGTATATGAACTTTGGATTTACACTGGTGTATATGGATTTACACCGGAGTTTGATTTTGTCATTGGAATTTTAAACAAAAGAGTTGCACGGTCTGATTCAAATTAAGTATAGAGAACACCAAAACTAGAGATCAAAGAGGTACTAACCAAGGAAGATAAAAGAAAATCTACTGTGCTAGCACCGCTAGGGGAAAAACAAGGTACTAACCAAGGAAGATAAAAGAAAATTTATTGTGTTAGCATCGCTAGGGGAAAAACAAGTATTGGACTGAGAGTTGGGAAAGTGAGAGTTTACATTAAAAAACTTCAAGTTACAAGTGATTCTAAATGTCAAAAAGTGCTTTGTCAAGGAATTTTGTAGAAATATCAAAAAAGGTTCGATAAGACCAACTATCGTAAATTTCTTCAAACATAGAAGAAACCAAAAGATCACTAAATTGAGTAAATTAAGCATAACGTATACGAGTAATGAAATTTCCATACTCTTTACTTTGAAATTTAAGAACATCTCCGACAAGCTTCACTTCAATTGCAAAAGCGTATTGAGTAGATACCCATAGACAATGGTGTAAAATAACAAATTGCCAAATAGCAATAAAATACTCCAACCATACCGAGACGTAGCCAATGATACTGTCCATCAATATCTTGAGCTTCTAGATGTATGAGAAGTAGAAGTATAAACCTGATGAAAATAGCAAAACCTCCTCGAACCCCTCTCAAATGTTGTGTTCTCAGTTTCATGTCTATCCCACCAAGGTAAACACTTCCAACTCAACAATAATATTGCTTTCATGTTAAATGGTAAATGGTAAATAGATCAAGCCCGTGGGACCCAAAGGGTCAAAAGGCTAAAAAACACAATACAAACAAACCAACTCCAAATTAGGAGAGAACCAAAAGAACCCTCTAGCTAGTGCTCAAAGCACTAGAACGGTAACTAATAATATCTCTAACGTAACAACCTAAATCATAAGGCTCAAGCTGAAGGAGAGAATAGAAATTCTCGACATCAACTTTATCAACCTGTTCTATGCTTGGCAATAATATGACGTAAAGATGGTAAATGGTAAATGATGTAAATGGTAAATGGTAGATGTAGCAATCTCTGCAACAAGGTACCCTTGCTCACAATAAATAAGCATAGGATTCACATGAAGTTGATAAAACTGCATTTTAGTGCCTCCTCTCCTCCAAATGATGTTGAGAAACTCCTCCTTAATACGCTCGCGAAGGGCCATAGATTGCAGACCCCAATCCAATTCCGTCACATTCCACCTCAAAGACCAAGTCATCACATCTGCAAACCATCCCTTGGAACGTGTGGCACGCAAAGCATGAAGAGGAAGTCGAGAAGCATCAAGAGATCTCACCCTTCTAATATAAGTGATGGTCAAGTAGAGAGCTTCAGCCTCAAGAGGTAGACAACCGGTTTCCGCAAGAAGAATAGCATAAGGAGTTTGGTTCCTTACACCTAACTCTTCTTGTAAGAAGATCTTTTGCACCCTCTCCACACGTTCCCAACTTGTCTTCTTACTGCCAGGACCCCACACTTGTGTCCCATATAGAACCACCGGCAACACTAAACTCCTAAATAAAAATTTCCTAAGACTCCAAGATACTAGATGAGCTCTTCTACATTGATTTAAATGGTAAATGGTAAATGGTAAATAGATCAAGCCCGTGGGACCCAAAGGGTCAAAAGGCTAAAAAACACAATACAAACAATCCAACTCCAAACTAGGAGAGAACCAAAAGAACCCCCTAGCTAGTGCCCAAAGCACTAGAACGGTAACTAATAATATCTCTAATGTAACAACCTAAATCATAAGGCTCGAGTTGAAGCAGAGAAAAGAAATTCTCGACATCAACTTTATGCGCCACTCGAATCTCTATATATCTAGTACAAGTAATAAACACATGCTCTTCATCCTCAACATTTCTCCCATCACATAGCCTACAAATCCGTTCACTCCTATCAATATTCAACCAACGTCCTTCCTCAATTCCAAGCCTATGAGATCCTGTTCTATGCCTCGCAATAATATGACGTAAAGATGTAGCAATCTCTGCAACAAGGTACCCTTGCTCACAATAACATATGAATATAGAGCTTTGTAACCAGCTTCTACTCTCTTTTGTACACAAAGTGCCCAACTATAATTCTGAGAAAAATCAATGCCTAAATATTTGTAACTCTTCACTTGTTCCAATTCTAGTCCCTTGTAAAAGAGAGAGAACTTGGATCTAGTGCCCACAAGAATGATCTTTGATTTTTCCAGATTGACCTCCATCTGATTTCGAGTACAAAAGCTAGCCAAAGTATCAAGGTGTTTCTGTAAACTAATTGCATCACGTGCTAGTAATATGATATCATCTGCATACAAAAGAGCTTTGATCACAAAGTCTCCAAGTTTGAATCCTTCACTCTCATATGGTAAATGGTAAATAGATCAAGCCCGTGGGACCCAAAGGGTCAAAAGGCTAAAAAAAACAACAATACAAACAATCCAACTCCAAACTAGGAGAGAACCAAAAGAACCCCCTAGCTCTCACAATCATCCAACCACCTTTCTATATGTGTGTGTTTCCCGTTATCTTATATGGAACACAAGTGTGGGGTCCTGGTTGTAAGAAGACAGGTTGGCAGCGTTTGGAGAGGGTGCAAAAGATCTTCTTACAAGAAGAATTGGGTGTGAGGACCCAAACTTCTTATGCAATTCTTCTTGCGGAAACAGGTTGTCTACCTCTTGAGGCTGAAGCTCTCTTTTTGACTATCACTTACGTCAAAAGAGTGAGATCTCTTGATGCTTCTCGACTTCCTCTTGAAGCTATGCATGCCACACGTCCCAAGGGTTGGTTTGCAGATGTGGTGACTTGGTCTTTGAGGTGGAATGTGACGGAACTCGATTGGAATTTGCAACCTATTGCCCTACGCGAGCGTATAAAGGAGGAATTTCTCAGCATTATGTGGAGCAGACGAGGCACCAAGATGCAGTTTTATCAATTTCATGTGAATCCTATGCTTGTTTATTGTGAGCAAGGATACTTACTTGCAGAGATATCTACTTCTTTACGTCATATTATTGCTAGACATAGAACTGGATCTCATAGTCTTGGGATTGAAGAAGGGCGTTGGTTGAACATTGATAGGAGTGAACGTATTTGTAGGCTATGTGATGGAAGAAAAGTTGAGGATGAAGAGCATGTATTTCTTACTTGTTCAAGGTATGTAGAGATTCGAGGGGCGCATAAAGTTGATGTCGAGAATTTCTTTTCTCTGCTTCAACTCGAGCCTTATGATTTAGGTTGTTACATTAGAGATATTATTAGTTACCGTTCTAGTGCTTTGGGCACTAGCTAGGGGGTTCTTTTGGTTCTCTCCTAGTTTGGAGTTGAATTGTTTGTATTGTGTTTTTTAGCCTTTTGACCCTTTGGGTCCCACGGGCTTGATCTATTTACCATTTACCATTATATCATCTATGAATATTCCGAATAGAGTAGGAGAGAGAGGACAACCTTGAATAACTCCAATGGTGCTCGAGATCTCTTGAGGCTGAGAGGCATCAATCTTAGCTCGAACTGAAGTGTATAAAGTGGCCACAGCTCCGAGTAGATTAGCCGGTACTCCAATGTCTTGTAGTCTTTCCCATAAAAGCTTTCAAGGAACAGTATCAAAAGCTTTCTTCAAATCGATGAAGGCACAAAATAAAGCTTTCCCATTGCCCTTGGATGTCTCCCATAAAACACGTAAGGCCAAAATATGGTCAATAGTGTTGTATGTAGGACGAAAACCGGCTTGGGCCTTTGCTCTCTTCTGAAAATCCTCTGTCCATGTGCTCAACTTCGATTCTACCAACTTCCCAAACAACTTGGCAAAAACACTACCAACCATGATGGTGCGATAGTTTGTCACCACGTTCTTCCTTCCTGATTTATGAATAGGAACAATCTTCCGCATGGACCAAGTTGATGGAAAACCATGAACCATAGCATCTTCCAAAAGCTTAGTGAGAACCGGTCCAATACAATCTCCTCCCCACTTGATAAGTTCAATGGACAAGCCATCTAATTTGCCATTAATCCTCACATTTGCCATTTGCTAATTTTCGGAGAATAGTCATCACCTCTCCTTCCGAAAATAATCCAGGTGTTGCTTCGCAATATGGCATAGATGTGGCTTCTGGAAAGAAATAGAGCTTTTCGGCAAAAGCTACCAAAGACTCGGAATCAAGAGAAGGTTTTGACGATGGTGTAGCTAATCGTCTCCAAAAGGACTTGGGATCCTTCATCAGGTCCTTTGTCAAGGATTCTTGCTTTCGTCTTAAGAAAGCTCGTTTCTTAGACTTCACCAAGTCTTTGTATATCCTTGTCAAAAGAAGCCGACTTTTAATATCCAAAGACCTATCAACAGACCTTGCCCTTGCTAGCTTGCATTCGGAGTCAAACCATCCATTGCAAGGTAGCCCCTTAGCAATCCTAGTACTATGCCTCAAAAAGAACTTCGATGCAGAAGTTTTGAGCAATTCTATGAGCTGTAAACTAGCGGTATGCGAATCTGGACTCCATATGGTGTGAGTCAAAAGATCTTGTAGATGTTCTGCATAAAGGTCTCTTTTACAAGGATCTAAGGATCCATTTACCATTTACCATTTAAGCAAAACTTGGGAGAAGCTAAAAGAGATTGGCAAGGTGAAGTAG